TTAATATGTTGTATACCCTTAAGAAACTTTGAAGTAGGCAAATTACCATTTAAAAAAAAAGCGTTAAATTCGATAAAAGTCGAGTGCGCCATCCGTGTAAGTGAGAAATTCGTCCGTGAAAACCACGAATTAGCGATTAAAAAGTGTGAAATCGCAAATCACTCGCACAAGTGCGTACAATCTGGAAATCATTTTCTTACAGATCGCTAATTTGTAATTTTTTAAGCCTGAATTCGGCCCTAAAACATGAAGATTCAAAACGCTTTTAATCGATTTGTGCCAAAGAAATCTCTCATGTTATCTACCTAGTTCCATTGCATTCTCCTCCATTGCATTCGATTGCATAGCAATCATTCCACACCGTCTGGTTTCATAACTGAACCATTTTTCTCTGAAAGGAAGTCGACAGCTGGATCACTGTGATTGCACCTCGCTTAGAGTCAATGTTAAAATTTTTCGTGATACACGGACTGCACTAACGTGGCATTTTAGATACTAGGATTTTTATGCAGGGCTGGGCCCCACCTCACATGTATCGCACAGTTACTTAGGCAATATTTCACGAATGAACGTCTTATAAGCCGTCACTTCCCCTCTTCCCACCAGACCTCATCCTCTGTGACTTTTGGCTATGGGGTTATTTCAAAAGCACTGTTTATGGTGATAATCTAAACAATTTGGCAGAAATGAAAAATGTGATACACTGACATGTCCGTAACACTCCTTCTGATATGCTAAGAGCTGCTGTTGAGAATGCAGTAACAGGGTTTAACTTGCTTTCGGAAAATGCTGGACGCTACATTGAACATGCTTTGTAACACGTTTCGGAAAATATTAAACACATTTTAAATAGATGTTTTCGTGTCTTATTTCATTTAACAATATTGTATACAGCGCCATTTTTCCCTGGTGGTGATTTTTTTGAACTCTTTTTTTTTCCGCGGAAAATAAATTCCCATAACCTCCTTTACACGATTCCCAAGTTTGATAACATTTGGTCCGGTAGTTTTCCTTTTATGACCATTTTAAATTGAAACTTTAATTATAACCACCCCATGTAAAAAAGCTTTAAAAGAAAAAAGTTTTTTAAAAGATTAAAGATTTTAAAGCTTTAAATGATTGACAGTTTGGTTCAAGTCAAAGCTTTAAAAATATATATATAAATATAATCTTTTATATTAATCCTCTTAGAAAGAATGATTTAAAAAGCTAATTTTTCTCTCGAAAAGCTAATTTTTCTTTCTTATAGATTTTATAAAAAAAACATGATCTTTAATATGATTTAGATTGTTTCAGCCGATATAAGAATTGGGTCACTCGGTGGTACAGAATAAACCCTGCTGGACTGTTTTATTTCTTTGTCATTTAGCAAAAATCTTTCAATTAAAATATTTATCCTTTGGACTTCGCTTTAAACTTTATTTATAGTTAAAATGACTAGAAAATGAAAAGCTGTCTTCAGCTGAAACGCAATTCATATAATTGATATTTTAAAAAATTAACAAGAATGCAAAATTTATGGAAGTCTAGCAGTCGAAAAATCTTAATTTTCTTGTGTGAGCACTGAAAATAACTGTAGAAGGGAAGAAGAAAAATTAGGGAGAAAAGTAAGCAAAAATTTGCAGGGAAATTTGGCTGTCAGACGTGCCAAGATGTTCAAAAAGTTGGACGCTTTCGAATACACTATCAGGATACTTCAAAGAATTTAGGTGTTCAAAGAGAAAACAGTTGGACGTGTACACCAGCAAATACCATCAATTGAGCTTGTGTTAACAGAAAAGACAAAACGATATCATTGCAGATTAAAGTGAAGAGCGACTAGTTTTAAACTATATGGTTGTGTAAATTACGTTATAGAACATCATATCGTATCATAAATGGTGAATCCCATGATTTCCTCAGTCGAATTATTTGAAGATTCAGGAGTTATCCAGTGATGTATGTGGATGTCACCTACAGATGTTTTTTTTCCCCTCCTGATGAAACAGCGGCCGAGCGATAAAGTCGCTGAACACTGGTAGTTCGGTCCGAGGATCGAATCCTGCGAACGGGGTGGCTGCATGGGCGTTTTCGTGGTTTTCCCCATGTGTAACGTGTATGCGAACCAGTTTCCCTTAGAAAGTCCTCCGCGAAGGCATCCCTCCCCTTAGGCAGATAGCCGTAGTGTGCTTTGTCATAATTAAATAAACCAAACCCTTTTGATGAAACCAGTCTTTCCTTTCATCTCATACCTTCAAAATGTTTAGCCTCTAAAGACTGGTAAAGGCTCTGACGAAATACTTCGTAAAGAACTTTCTAAGGGACACCAGCTGTCATACGGGTACACATGAGAAAATCCACGAAAACGCCCATGCAACCAGCCCGTTTACCGGGGTTCGAACCCCGGAGTGAACTACCAGTGTTCAGCGACTTTACCGCTCGGCCGTTTCTGGGCCTTTATGAAATGGAAGGCGATAACTTTATTTAAAATGATTGTCAGAAATACCAAAATGTTTCGAAAAGTTGGATACTTTTTAATATACTTTCAGAATGCTTAAAGAAAAAGAGAAGAAAAATAAATTTTTTCGTAAAATTTAGTATTCGTATTTTTTTAAATTTAAAACTTTTCAATCTTATGATATTTGATTCTTGCGATTTCAAAAATAAAATATTTGACTAAAATATGAATAACATTTTAAGAAACTAAATGTAGGATAAAATTGTGTAAAGCAATGGGCACAATGATAAAACTGTTTAAAGCAGTGTATGCAAGTCATCCTAAGTTAAAATGTCGGTTATACATCTCTCTTATTTATATATATCTTTTCTGAACGGAACATTGAAATTCGTGTAAAACTGTGCTTTACTGTATTTTCTCTTTTAATATAGTATGCAGTTTTCAAACGCATCGTAGTCTGGGTTACAAAGTACTCCTCCGAAAGAAACGCAGTTCAAATAAGTAAAATCAAATTCTGGAAAATTGATATTAATAAATATATTTAAAATGCTCAGTTCGAAGGAATAAATAGAAAATTTTAAAACAATTATCTAAAGAGACAATGCAACACAAACAATTAAAATAAAAGTATAAAAATTTAAAAATGACCTAAAATAATAACTATGACGAAAAATATGTATAAAGAAAGCTATTTGAAAAAAAAAAAATAAATAAACGCTGCACCTTTATTTACGCAGTTCGAATAGGTAAATAGAAATTTTTAAAACAGTTATTCGAAAAAAAAAAAAAAGTGCAACTTAAACAATTAAAATGAAATTCGAAAAAGAAAAAAAATACTTAAAATAATAAGTTATAATTAAAAATATAATATAAAGAATATTATTTGCAAAAAAGGAACGATGGTGACTTTTTTCCCTCTCACGGGAAAGGAAACTAGGTTGCCATATATTAAGAAGTTCGCCAAGTGAACTATTCTTGGCGCAAACTGAAAAAAAAGTGCCAACATAAATTTGTGAATTTCTCCGTAAATTTCGCTCCAAATTTTATAAAATTTCATATTTAGGTGTAATTTGAGTCGTAGAATGGAAATATGTAAAAAAATTGGTATGTTATTTCAGAAAAAGTCCGATTTTGTGTCAAAATACCTATGTTAGAATAGTGCTATATATAAATCTAATATATATCCTAAGTCACGCTTTCGAGACATGAAGAACGCAATTTGAATTTTGTCAATCGGCCCAGTAGATCGGGAGATATAGGACTGTCCCATTTTTTTTTTTTTTTTTGAGCAGTGTACATGCTATTAAACTGCCAGAGGCCGTTTAATTGTGAACTAAAGTAAAATTATAACTGAGTCAAACACTTTTCAAACTAAATTCTCTTAATTAGGAAAAAACTGCTGAAAATCATTTTTTTAAATATTTATATTGATTAAAAAAATCCTAATAATATTTTTGTTTAATTTTAATATTTCGCATTAAAGATTTTTGCGTCCTAAATTAAAGGGGGAACTCGATTCTTAATAGCTTTTATGTCAGTAGCTTCTCTCGGCTAATCCCTTTAGCCCAATGGTTAAGAAGGGTTTGATGTGGAAAAAATTCAGAGAATACAAGTTATTTTCAAAAACTGTTTTTGTTTTAATAAAACACCACATAACTTCCTTCCGCGGCCTATTAAGTTATACATATTTTTTTTTTGGCTGCAATTCATTTAAACTTATTTTCTCGAATTACTCTAATTTATAACCGATTCGTCACGGTAAGTTGAGAATGACATAAAATATTGCAACGTACGGCTATCAAACTTGCTATAATTTTATTTTTCCGTAGCGAGTACAAAACGTTCCCAGATATAATTATAGGAGTCGAAAGACCGCATTAAAAGTTAGATTTCTTTATTTGTTCGAAAATTAATGCATTTTAAATTTGACACTGCCCAAACATGAATATTTTTGTCGCTTAAACACTTCTCTGTAACTGGAAGTATATGACCACCACCATTGATTGTGGAAATAAAGGCCGAGTAAGGACGTTTAAGTCGGGTAAGGAGCGTGAGTACATTAAAAAAAGGGAGGTGCACAACTAGATGTTATAGCAGTCTCATATAAAAAAAATTGAACATTTTACGGCTAATCGTTTCTGAGTTATGCGAGATACATACGTACGTACAGACGTCACGAAAAATTCCCTTTTGAATCCATTTTACAATCCGTTTTGGAAAATGAGTCTTTTATTCTAATCCATAGAAACGTCACGCAGATACATACATATGTATGTACATATATATTCGAGAAGGGTCAAAATGGATATTTTCGTTGAAATATAACACCCCAAATTTTTTGAGATTACAATATCTCCTTTACTTCGTACAAGGTAGTAAAAAATGAAATTACCTTTCTATAATTAACTATAAGTAATGGTGATGAAATTGCTTACAAAAGAAGCCATTCAGCTCTTTTCTACAGGAATTTAAAACTTTCTGTTATGCCAACAGTTTTTGTTTTGATGATGCTTGATTCGTTGTCTAAATGAATGATATTCTTGTAATAAGGAAAAGACTCTGATGCATTTCAGATCTTTATTGGAAATATTATGACTGTCATGTAACAAGAAAGAGGTTCAATGCAACAATAAGTTATATATATACAGCTGACAGTATATGGTGTATATAACAATGCCATTCATCAAAATGGAAAATTAATCTTTATAAATACAAAGTTCTATGTTACCAGAGCACAGAACTTGTAGGAAACATTACTTATGCATTTTAAGTTTCCACTTAACTGCATACAAAAGTTAATATTACAGTGTCACTTAAATAAAAGAAAATTCAAGCTATAAGAAAAAGATACAAATATAAACAATGCACTCTTAATAAGCCTGGACATACTTCTCAGTTATACTCTCAACTAACTTCTCAGTTAGTTGAGAGTCATCACAAAAACAAATTGGTACAAGTATGTGTAGTATTTATGCAATGTTTATGTAACAAAATGACTTAGTTATGACAAATTTAAGCAATGAAACAAAAATCATGAACTTAAGAAACAGGCTGAAGATTCTAATGAGTCCTTTTTATCTTGGTTTCAGACAATCAGCCTGACCTGGCCAGCAGGAATTTTTACGGGAAGAGTCCATTAGATCTCGCGACTTTATCATCTCATGTACGTTCTTCTACATTTATACTTTTCCTTCCATTTCTTCATATGCAGTCTCTTTTCATTCATAATATAGATACAGATCAATTGAATACAGATTTATCAATTTTAGGCTGCATAATTTTAATTCTAAACATTAATTGAAAAATTATTGTAGACAATACACTAAGAAGGAGTATCTTCAATGGCTACAAAGGTTAAAAGCAAGGGATTCATTTATACAGTCTAAAAATTAATTATATCACAGCAAATGAAAGAAAAATACGCTGCTTCACACTGGTCTACTAAACCAAGAAACAAAACATATATTGTACTGAAAGTCCAAAAATAAAAAAAAATCACAATATTACACCATTAAAACGTTTAGTATTTGCTATTGTCGTATCGAAATTTATTTTGATTTCAGATAGAAAAGATAAAATGTTGAAAAAAGGAAAGATTCAGATAGGGGTAGTCATAGATGAAATATTTAAATTAGAAATTAATTAAATGAAATTTCAAACGTTATTTCTTTAATAGAAAAAAGTATCTTTGAAGAAGCAAATGAAATTACCAAATGAACTATTTATTCAAATATAAGTTTTAGTGTTATGTTCAAGAAATATCAGCAAGAAAAAATATTTTGAAAGCGATCTTCTCATAAACTGCATATAAAAATATATTATAGTTCAAATTTCGTTCTTCTTTAATGGAGAAAATCTGATAGTCGAAAAATCTCAATTTTTAATCACAGCAGATATTTCAGATTTCAACAGCATTTATAAAAAAAAAAAAAGAGAAGGAAGCACACGAAAGATATGAATTGCTAATATTTCTTCCATAAAAGGCTCATGTTTCATCTCTTTCCCTCTTTTGTTGGGGTAAAAAAGGAATCGGAAAAATTATGCAATATATTAATTTCAAAAGCTTTATATAATTGCATAAATTCTGAAAAAAAGAACGGAATCAAAGCATCTAAATGACATTATACCTAAGTTAGTGTGACTGATTAAAAATAGATGAAAAACTGGATTTGGAAAGCTTTGCTCAATACACACTTGCTCATCTGCTGGTTCAAAGCTAAAAAGAAGAATTGAGAAATACAAAAAAATAACACTACTCTAGCTGAAAAAAGAAATAACCATCGTAATGATAATTTTAACTTTTGGATCGTAATAATAGATTTCATTAAAATTAAAAAAATATTCCACTTCAAATAAAAATTTGCAGAACGCAGTTTTGAAAACTATTAATGTATAATTATTTTTATGTCTGAATAGTTTACGAAATAATTTCAGAAGATTTTTCATTATGTTTATGAATTCATTATGTTTATGAATGAATTGAATTTATGAATTCAGTTAATTTAAATACCATTTCAAGCAGAAATGATTAACACAATGTAATTATAAACAGGTACGAATGTATACTTATTTTTATGTATGAGTAACTGTTTTTGCGAAATAATTTTTGAAGATTTTTCATTATGCTACTATACAGTTTAGTTGAGATTTTGCTATGTTTGTATGTAGTTGAAAAATAACCGTAACTCTAACGTATTCCAAATTTTTTTATATAATTTTACTACCGAAGAATTTCTCAGATATATACCGAATTAATAAATACACATTCTGATATCAATTATTATTCATATATTGTTTATTTTGATGTTAGTAACTATATGAAAGGAAAAAGCAAAAACGTGGAATAATGCCTTCTGATCCTTGACTAAATATGTGAAGCCTTTGTAGTTAATTAATGGCGTTAGTAAATTTTGGAATTTACTTATTAAAAACTCTGTCTCTTTACAATACTTATTTCCAGCACAATCGATCTATTTACTTCAGCAATGCAATGATAAATTAATTTAAAATGATCTAATTAACATTAGATCAATGAATAAAGGAAACAAAATATAGGCCACACTTTATATCCATTACCTGCCTTTTTCTATTGACATGTACTAATCAAATTTAAGTTTATACTCCATGCTAACCAACTATATTACATTATTTCCTTTTCAAATCATAGTCAGAAAAAATACATGTCAGAAAGCTAATTTATAATACTGCTCACATAATTTACATTTCACAAGTGTAAACTGATATAAAAATAAAGTTGGCACTATCAGAATTTGTGTAAAGTAAGTATGCTTTATAAACCCCGCGCAGAAACTCAGCAAACATTAGATGGCTATCAGAATACTATTTAGCGCAATTAAAAATTAACATTTTAAGATAATTTCTTTCTACAACAAATAAATCCTAACAACTTCATAAACACTTGTTCTCTTCAGATTTAACTGGCCTAGCATATTCAAGCTCTTTTGGAATTTCGAATTTTATTTTCATTCTCAATGTAGCATTTGATGCCTAAGCATTGAATAAAGTACCTTTCTACCAGCTTTTCATTCCATTTCTCGAGAATAGAGCAGCATCTTTCGGGAGATTAAAAACCATTTCATCAGTTTTTGCCACCAGGCATCACAGAAACCAGCAACTGTCCCCGAGTGAAAGAGATGAGGTATAAAGCAACTTCCGAAAAATTTCTCTTTTCTCTTGGCACCAGAAAATTATTTAGGAAAATAAAATCGCAGTTATCCAGCTTGAAACTAAAGAATTCCAAGAAATACTGTTTCACTGGTCTGTCAAAGTCATAAAAATAGCCTTCTCATAACTTCCCGGACAACAAGCAGAATCAAAACAGATGCAGGCACACCAGTAACAGATGGCAAGCTACCCGAAGTACCATCCAGTGCTTCTTGACGTGGAATGGTCGTTCCTTCAACACCATTCTGCTGAAGTACAACATCTAGCTTCTCCGATCCATCTACGAGGTCTTCATCAACATATTCACCTTCTGTTGGACTGACAGTGGAGGACGCCATACCTGTTTCTGAATCTCCACCGACATAGATAGGCTTTGTGTCCCCAGATTTGAGAGATGCTTTGCTCAGATCTTCGTTACTCGCAGACTGTGACTGACAATCGAACCACCATACAGAGGTTGATCGAGGATAAGGTGGATCTGCATTGTCAACCTGAAAGTCAAGAAAGAACAGATCCTTTTAATCCATTTTTTAAATGATAATTTTAAAACAAAATTAGCATTTGAAAACTATCTTTTAGTTTATTCTAAAGCTAAAAGAGAATATGCAGATATTCATTATTCCAAATAATTATTAAATATTGCAATTTTAAGGTTTTAAAATATAATATGGGAAATTCAGATAAAGAACCATTTATATGTAGAATATCATTTATTGAAGAACATTTATTCTCACTGCATTAAGAAAATGCATTTTGTGGGAAAAAAAACTGTTAATGTGCCATATTTATTATGAGTAAAATTTTTCCTTTTCATTTATTCTCTTGTTCTTATATTTTTATTTAATTATTATTTCCTGCAAATCAACGACACACGTTTTCATTTGGCCATTCGTTACACTTTTCTCAGCGAGGTATAAACGCTGATAAACTTTTAAACAGCCAAATTCCATTTGGTTTTAAATTGAAGAAGATCACTGCTCATTGCAGATTTCAGACGTTTTTAGATCCAACGGTCTGTTCAACTCTTTTGCCATACTTCAAGTGGTGAAATTTACAGAATATTGTTATTGGTATGTTAATTAAGATTAAAAAAGTTGCAAAAAGGGATTGCATCATGCTTTTTTATATTTATTCTAAATCATCCAAAATTCATTACTGCAATTTGCAAGGGCTACTAGTTTTTCATTTATTACCGTAATACGCAAATAAAATTTACTAGATGTCAAACAGGAAAAATTTTAATATTTTGCTAGATATACTATATTCTGTTTAACAGTTTATTCATTTTTGGCTGAAGGGAGAATAAACTGCAATATACATGATCAATCTTTATTAATCCATTACAGGTTATCTTAATATAACTAAGACTTTTATAGAATAATCTCTATATTTAAAACATCTTGCAATGACACAACTAAAAACATTTTTATACGTAAGAAGAAAATTAATTTTTCTGTAAAGTTTCTGAGGGTAATGTATACAAAACATCATATTATAAAAATCTGTGGTGGTTGCAGTTATATAAATAAAATTCATTACATTATAGCGCAGATGAAATCATTTTGTTAGATTTCCCACTGTGACAAATATATCGACAATTCAATCTAATACAATTTCCATAAAATTGAAACTAAAATTTTTTTTTTCTTGATAGCACTTTAGATACTTAGATGGAAAAAGAAAAACCGTTTTGACTCGCACATTCCATCTACTTTTTTCTCCTTATAATTTAGAAATTTCTGATATGTGACAGAAAAATTCAACGTATGCATAGATAGTCAAGCTTTTTCAACATATGATTTAGAACTTCTGATTTATGGTAACAATATCAAAGGTGTGAATGAGTAGGAGAAAAAACAACAGCATAGAGAATAAAATTTAGAATTGATTTCTTCAGATTAGAAATATTAGCACAACTATTCTTGCGCACTTTTTAATTTGCTAACATCTTCTTTTTACTCCTTTCTTCAGGAATGTTACACATTGCCTAATTTTTCACAGCTCGAACTTCAACAGATAAAATCAAATACGCAAATAAATACAGAAATTAGCTGGGAAAATCAAGAAACTCGGGAACAGAAGAAGCTTAATACGTCAGCAATAAAATGCCATTGGAATTCTTTATGATCAGATGCAGTTCTGATCTAAGAACATTCATCCTAATAGTTAGAATAGAACATTTATCCTAATTATAATAATAGTTTATTTGCTAAATACAGCACGAAAAGTAGCGTTGGATCCAAACATCAGGATGGTCTTTAACATTTTCTTCTAAAGTTACTTTAAAGTAGGTAAGATTTGTTATTTTGGGAAGAAGAAAGGGGAATAGGACCTTAGCCCCAGAACTTCTTTTCGGTTTAAATGGCTATAATTAAGCTCCAGGACATTATATTTCTCTGAAAAACATTTGAAAATGACAGGCTTCTAAATACCTGCATCTCTTTTCACAAATACTGCGTGCATAAATGAAAGTAAAATATTTCTCTGTTTCCTTTATTAACACGGAATATTTACTAAAATTTCCTGTCAACCGCTTTTATAATAGCAACTATTCTGTCCACAGCTTTGAATCACGCTATGTTTAATCAGTTGAATCAGGAAACGAGACCAGAACATATAAGAGCCAGTTTTTGAATGAATAAATCTGAAAAGTTTCCTCTTAAAAAAGCCTTTCTTGTTATTATGCTGTCTCAAAGGACATAACATTTCTTTGTTGATCACAGGATTTTCTTTTTATCAACCATTATTTTCATTTTTAAATAAAACATAACTTTATCATCAAGGAAGCGCTATTCGGATCTAAAAGTAGGTGCAGAAGAGATGGACAAAAATGACATTTATACTGCTGAATAAAAAAAGAGTCTGATGTTACCTTTTAAACAAAGTAAATGTAACTGTTTATTATAACTGGTATATTCTTTGGACTTGAATATACCAATTAATAAACAGCAGCAAGTTCAACTTAAAATCACATATTTTCATATAAATAAATGATACACACAACCCTAATTTCGCGTTTTGATGCTATGAATGCATCAGTCGCCCTTTTATGATCCCAATAAACTAGATAAGTGTAAAAATAGTACACGATACTTAAATAAAAAATAAGAGAGCTTTCTTCCTCCCCCTTACCGAGAAAGTTCTGTCGTTGAATCGGTAGTACACTTTTCCTTTGAAGAAATAGGTTTTCTGATTTACCCATTGCAAGGCGGCATCAATATTGTTGGGCAGACCTTCCCAGTTGCTAATTGACTGAGGGTATCGTGAACTGACCGGCGGCTCACTTCGACTATCAAACCGCCAGTAGTTACTACCTGTAATAAAAGTGGCAAAACTAGTTAGAAATAAAAATGGCACTTTTTTTTCAGATTTTTCAGTTATGGTTTATATTTTTATGACCAATGTAAAAGTTAATTTAAAAATTTTTCACTATTACTATTATTCAAAATATGAAGATAGAATTCTAAGTTATAGGGGAAATTAGTTCCTGAATACAATTTTTTGGCTAGTTTTTTTACTTTGAACAGAGCTTGTCCACTTTTATGGTTAGAAATATTGACATTGATATGTTTATCAATTCAGCCACAGAGAGAAATTTTAGTATTCTTATTACACAAAATTCTTATTACATAATAAATATTTTCATTACATTTTAGTATTCTTATTACATACATTATACATATCAGTTTAACTGGGAATTTAAGCGTTACTTCCACATTCAGAGAATTATCAATTCTGAAATCCTACATCGAAGAAGATACTGTGTTTATCGTACTTCTCCTTGGAGAGGTAGCGATATTTAACATTGAAGTATATGTGTTACTAGGAAAAACTATATACACAAAAAGTGTAATCGTAACTAAAAGTTTCTGCTGTTCTACATCGCAATCAGTATTTCCTAAGTTACCGACAACCTCCAGAAAAGCGTTGTTCCAAAGTTTGAAAAACAAAACAAAGTTTTTCATCCTAGAATAAGAGTATATTAGATCTGAATTATATCGTATTTGTATACACCAGGAGTTTTCATCCAGGAGGAAATTCCCTCTAAGGAGAAATTCCATAGTTTCCCGGGGGGGATGCAGCCAGCCTTTTACTTAGCTATTAAGCATTTAGTTTAAATTTATAAACTTTAAAAAGCTACTGTTATTTCAAGTTATTATTCAAGTTGTGGTATTGGCCAATATTTCTATGCTTTTTGTTGTTTAATTTATGAAACACGTTAGTAAATAATCTATACCTCAATAAACGTACATGTATATTTTTCAAGCTTGAAAAATAAGGTGAAATAATATTCTAACAATGGTGAAAGGAGGGGAGGGGAGGGGAGGTTAAGAACCACCAGTACATACTCTTTGACTGTATGCGCCGTTATTTCGGTTGACTTATTTTGCTACTTAAACAAGCTCAAATTAAATTTTTATCTTAATGTTTTTTGTCTGCTCAAACTTTCTATTCTATACTGAATGCAAAAATATACCTTTGAAACCCTCTTTGGTGAGAAGAAATAAATCTCAAGGTGTTTACAGGTAGATTCCTTATACATCAAATTTCTCTATTCTTTGTCCCTTGTAGTGCATTGGTTAAGTATCACTCGAAGTAACGTATTGATGTAACGCAACTTACATATGTTTTAGCTGTATGTTTGGTGACTAATTAACGAAGTATAATACATCTAATTTTTTTAAACTTTTATTTTCTCATCGTTCTTTAGAATTCAGACTATTTGAGAAAAGAACGTTGAACTGTATTTAAAATTTTATTTTAAAATTTAATTCAAAACAAAGTCTGAGGAATCGGAATTAAATTTTAGTCTGAATATGAAGTAATTCTGAGTATAGAAATTTTTTTAAACATTACCGTGGAATGTAGTACTGGACCGTATTCTGATGTTCCTTTCTTTAACAGTTTGAGTTAGAATCTTATACACTTCTCTGCTTTTTTTAGAAATCAGCAATTAATTATTAATGAATTACTTCCATAGAGAACTTAGTAAAAGATATCCCATAAGGAAGAAATACCTTCTTCACTGAGTTTCATTCGAGATGAAAATAAAGAGATTTTATCCTTTGATTTTACGTACAGCGATATTTTCTGCATGCTTTTTACAAACAACGATATTTTCTGCAGGCATGATCCTCGATTTAGATGCTACGGATAGTACGAATTTATGATGACACATGAAACTGCAGGCATAGCATACATATCATATTTCTGAAACAATAATTCAAAGAAATTTCAACTGTTATATTTAATTCATCTGAGAAAATCAATACTTTTATTCTGAAGGACTGTTGCAAAACTGCAACGTGTGCTTAAGTTATTTGCTAGATGACAGATCAAAAAGGAGGAAGGAATTATAAGGAAAGCTTTCTTCCATGTGATTCCCCAGATTTCAAGCCATTACTTGTATTCACTCATTCACTCAGGTTTAGATGTATATTATTTTCCTTGTTAATAAACTTATACTTGGACAATGTGCTGTGTAGACATCATTAGTGCTATCATCGGGAATAGCTCAAGACATATAGCTGTTATTTGTTAATAAATAGCACATTTTCAGATACTTGTTCCTCAACTTATTTTCGTATATGTTACTTTTTGTATTCATTAATTGTGTTACGAATGCGAATCTTCACTGAATTCATGTCGTTATTCGTAAGTCGCAATCGTTGAGCAAATTGCTTCAATGTAATATGGAATATAATTCAGATTTGGAGCATTATAGTCAGCCATTTTTGTTAATTGAAGGGTAGCTGAGAGTAAATTCACACGCCGGCATAAACGCTGTAAATACTTTAGGCTCAAACTGCACTGCTCGATATTAAGCCTCGGTGTGAAGCATCTGTAATAAATGAATGAAAAATCCAGAGGAACTAAACAATCTCTATTTTGTAAATTTTGTAGCTCGCTGGTATCACCCCAAAACACGCAAGTTAATCCTCGCTAATCTCCCTTTGAATGTAGGAATTATTCACCTTCCTGGATAATGGTGTTTTTTATTAAAAGATTTCAAAACAGACTGAAGATTGGCTTTCGCAGGAAGGGAAGTTAAATTCTTGCAAAGAAAATTCTGTAAAGTGAATTCGCATTGTCTTGTGACTGATTATTAATTAGCTGATATCCACTTTTAATTAGAACGAATATTTTTCAAGAAGTTTATACAAGTGGCCGTTATGATGCTTAAAACATTATATGAACACGTTTACTAACCATCGTTGCCTTATGGTGCAGTTTATAATTCGCAAAGACTCAGGACTGGAATATTTCAAAGCGCGTTATCGATTCCAAAGAGATAAAAATAACTTATATTTCACTTTCCAGCTACAAAATGGTTTCGTTACCTTTGAAAAAGTAGGTCTTGCCATTCCCGCTCCAGACGAAAGCCGCATCAATGTCATTCGGTATGCCTTCGAACCCAACTGATATTTCTTTCGGATATCCCGAATCCATTTTCTTGTTTCGGAACCTCCAATACTGATTTTTCTGAAATAACACAGAAAGCAGAATTTTAACAGAGGAAACTGTAACTTTTCGCGCTAAAACAAAGCAAGCTTTATCCTGCATTTGGATGCCAGCCAGTTAAGTGTTTTTGGCGACTGTCCAGTTAAACAAAGAGAGCGATTAAAATCTAATGTGTACGTAACTATTCGGAATTTCCTAACGTAGAAACTGTTCATATTAACTTGGATTAATATTTCCAAATTTTTACAGCTTTTTGATCTAAATCTGTTTATTCCAAACAGAATAGAATTTTGATATATATATCGCAGAATTTTAATGTTTTATAACATTTATAACAGATAAAACAAATAAATAAATTGAAAATAAAAAGAAAAAGAAAGGGTGAGAATAAACATGATAAGATATAATAACTTGAGTAATTAACAAAGCGCGATAAGATCAGATTTTTATAGAATTATGCTAAATATTTTAATAAAAAGCTGTACAGATTAATGTTACAATTTTTAGGCAGAAATTTGAGTACTGAGGTCTGTTTACAAACTTCTAACTTCTTAGACAAATTAATAGATTAAACTAATGATTTAATTCTGAAATAAAAGATACAAATTATATATACTGCTGCATAAAATTGATAAATCCTGAGATCTTTTAAGCCTTTTCTCTTCCTACGTACTATTTTATGCAACGATTTGCGAAAAAAACGTAAATGGAAACATCCTTTATAGTAAATTAAAAAGAAAAAAAAAAGCTATCTTATCTCTAAAAGTTTTCTATATTTTACTTTTATTTCTCATTAGCTACAAAGTGGGGACAAAAAAAAATCTGTTACTTATTTCTTTATGCAATACTTACTCTACTCACTTACACCCAGTTATATTTTATCTCGGAACTTAAACCTAGAATTACGATTACAATACAGCACGGTATGCATCAAATTATGTAATCTATGACATCAAAATGTTGCCCAAACCTTAAAAAAGAATGTTTTGCCATTTGTCCACGTTAAAGCAGCATCCAAATTGCCCGGTAAACCAGACCAGTCTTCAGATATTTTTCGGGGATATCCGTCAGCAATTCCTGTCTGAAGTATTTCCCAGTAATAATCACCTAAGAAAGAAAAAGTTATTAATAAAAAATTAGAAATGGATTTCACTTTCCAAAGAATATCCGCACAAAAATCTACTGACCAAAATGGGAAAAGAAATAAAACTGATATGATTAAAGAAAGACTATAAAGTCTTAAGTGTAATTTGAAAGTTTTTGACTAGTCATCAGCAAAGTTATATTCACCTTTGAAAACATAGGTCCTTCCATCTTCAGTTTTAGTTGCGGCATCAAATGAAGGATCTTGGCATAAATCTGGTGATCCACTAATGTCAGGTGTCAATCTCGGCTTATATCCGGGGGTTGGAGATGGAGATTCTTTCCTAGGTCGACCTGTGTACGGGAAAAAGTCAGAATAGGCAAGCATGTTGTATTGTTAAATATTGCTGCTCTTCAGTTCTATACGAATTTATTTAAGGTGTGGTGTGGTGTATTTAATTATGGCAAAGCACACTAGGGCTATCTGCCTAAGGGGAGGGATGCCTTTCGTGGAGGACTTTCTAAGGGAAACTGGCTCGTATACACGTTACACATGGGGAAAACCACGAAAAACGCCCATGCAGCCAGCCCGTTCGCGGGACTCGAACCTCGGACCGAACTACCAGTGTTCAGCGACTTTACCGCTCGGCCGCTGGTGGGCCGAATTTATTTAAGACAAGATAATAAAAGTGACCATGTACATAATGAGATTAAAAATGGGTTTAGTTCTATGAAAAAGTACTTAAAAACAAGGACTTCGTAATTCAATACACATTTTAGCTCAGAAACCTTTTATTGAAAGATTTAAAATTTTATTTTTTATTACTTTACTTTTTATTTCAATTCAGAAAGATTAAAATCAATTAATTTCAAAGACATGTGTTAAAATCAAATCAAGAATATCGATCAAAGCATAGATTTTGATAATCGCAGTTTTCAAAATTTGGATTTAATTTCAAGACTTTAATTTAACAGTACTTGCAAAGAATTATTTTGAAATATTTTTTATTACGGAAATGTAAGACAGTTCACAGGAGGAGAAATATCATTTTCTTCCTTACCTTATCCATTCAGTTGATTAAAAAAAATGAATAGGTAAGATCGATTGATATGCAAATTCTGAATAATTGGAAGACATCATTAAATTTTGCTCTACTATCAGATTAATTAATATCGATCAATAATTTACATTGACATGTTTATGATGAAGTATTTAAATTTTAAAGCAGACAAAATTAAAAAATAACACATCATGCTTTACACAACAATAGAGAAATTTTCTCTTAGTGGGAAAAAAAACGGAGTTTCGTTAACACATTTTCTTATAAAATATAACAAATAAAATTTATGAAAGAATTTTCTGAAAAATATTTTAATTTTAATTAAATCAGTGGTAAGAAAACCAAGAAGCCTTCCACTACGTAATGTGAAAACTTCGATTATCTTTCAAAATTGATATACCATCTAAGATTGATATACCATCCATATTCTACCATTGCTAGCAAACAATTCCTTCTCTCTCAACCGGTAAATGCATCATTGAAATGACAAATAATGTGTCCACATTGATTAATTTAAATGATTTTTTTGTCGTGGCAGAGTGGTATACAAACTGAATTTTAAACCTGGAATGAAAGAACGGCCAATTTTTACACTTTCGGGAATATGTATAATATCAGTTGCAAGTATGGCATACTATAAATAAGTCGATCTTGAAATATTTCATCAAAGAATCATCCATCTAAAAACGAGGAGTTCATATAACTTCATTTAATTACTATTATTATTTTCTATATTATAATTTCAATCTCCTTTCCGCTAAAATTATCGAAAATAATTCAACTTCTTTGAAAGTTTTGACCGTTACATAAGACTTTTTATTTCAGTTAATGATTGTAATTCCATTCATTCTTCCATTTAAATGTTACACAGTCTTGCCACTTTTTTATCAACACATGAGATTAAGCTTTTTTACAAAATTCTAAGATGTTGTAATATTAAATAAATGAATAATTTTACTATAACAATATTTCAGGCTGTTTTGGAATTAAACTCATTTTTTTTGTTACTCTTTAGAAAGAGTTAAGATTCGCAGGAGTATTTTAGTTTATATTGCTTTCCTAAATATGCGCATTCAATTTCCTTTAAGATAATTTATATCTATAATCTTGGAGTAAATTTTATCTGCCAAGTTGGAGAAATTCTTTCCCATCGAAGGTATACCTAAATCTTGTAAAAAAAGAAGGTAATCTACTTACTATTCAGTGCGAGACACATGCAAACACATGTGTTTAATGGACGAGAGTATGCTGTATATAACATTTATACATTTAATGTTAGCGTGTTTTCATTTTTCTTGCAACATTAAGTAAAAACAACATCTGAAGAAAGCGGGGGCGTAGCTCAGATGGTAGACCGCTCGCTTAGCATACGAGAGGTACTGGGATCGATACCTAGAGCCTTCATCCCTTTTTTCCCCTCTCACCTGAATAAAGCATACTTAAAATATATACATTAATATACTATTTTACCATAGTAAATTCTTTGATAAGTGCTAAGTTTTACCTCCATGGGGCTTAAGCCTTAGATGGCCATCCGTATTCCGTATAACCCACCTTTAATTCTCCATTAAATATGTGTCATAGAAAATGTGATATATTTTTAGAAGATGGCTAGCATAACAACATTTCAGTAGTCAAGTCTAAAAGGATTAATTACTTAAGGCAAAGCAGAAAAAGCTATATGTTTAACAGAAGGAAGGCCTTCATAAACGATTTCCTTAAAGATATTGGCTTGTGTTCATGTTAGGAAACAAGGTGATGATAAAGAAAACTCCATGCAGCTGTTTCAGTCATCGGGAACTAAATGAGAGATAAAATGAAAATATTTCTTCGCTTTAGTCACTCGACCATTTGACAGTCTGAAGACCATCATGATAGCGGAACCCAAATCACTTTTAAAGATTTATTTCATACTAATCTTTGAAAACTATTAGGAAAGATCAAAATACATTTGAATCAGTATTTAGAATCAATTCATTAGATCTTTGTTCTTCATTAATCATTACGCACAGTTTCGACATAGACTAAAAGTAAATGAGACATTTTCAAAGTTTACCATAATTTTGTTACGCATTACGCGGAAAGGAATTATGCGAAGAGCATTTTAAAATAAGATTTGCTCAATTAGAATTATAACCAATTCATTCAAATGTAATTTCTAATACACTCCAGTCTGCATACTTTATACCAGTGGTCTCAAACTGACGGGACGCGGGGCCTCCGAAGACATTTCAATTAAGTATTTGTTACAAATACAGTGTTACAATGTATCCAAGGTTTTAGCTATTTGAAGTCGGAGTTTATATTGTTTTAGCAAACATAAATAGTGCATCAAAAATCTATAACTATAGCTAATTTACAATATGATAAAAATCTTATTCAGAGATTTAAAAATACAGATTTTATTATTTTTTTATTCACACTTGTCAAAAATAAATAATTTCAGTTACGAATGTTTTCCCTAAAAATATTACTTTATTGGGAATACATTTATATATAAACAGATTTTTTTTCACAGTTGAAAATTAATAAGAAAAGAACCCGATTGACCGATGAGCATGTGCAATCTATGAAGATAATTTCTTTCCAAGGTTACAAACTTTACGAGAAAAGAAACGCCAACAATTGTAAAGCTGTTGTAAGAAATAAAGAAGTTTTAAATTACTTACTACAGTATTTATTTTAATTTATGCGTCAAAGAGAAATTTAATAATTAAGACAAAGAGACTAGGTTATTATTATTTATTCTTAAGATTTGTCGCATAGTAAATTTTCTGTGGAAACTTAGAAAGTTTTCATAATTTCTTCATCTTTAGTTTAAATTAAAGTTATTTAACGATTATTTAAACAAGTTGTGATTATTTGATAGAAATGTCATTCTAAGAATTCAGCATTTAGTTTTCAATATATTTGAATTACAAAGTGTAACCAACAAAAATGTCTTATAGGTATCAAACTTAAATTTCAGTTAAAAATAAATATAAATTTGAATTTTTTGTGTTTTGCGATATTATGTATATTTTGATAAATATTTAATAATATTTAACTTTATAAAATATATTTCTCTTTTATTAATATAATTTTTCATTTTATAAAAAAATTAGTACGTCAGCTGTTCTTAGATTATGTATTTCGTCAGCATGCAGTTTCAGTCTGAGCCCGCTGTTTTATACGACGATACATTCCAAGTTTTACGAAGAGATATTCGAAGATGAAATCAGCATACGTACCATATAAAGCTTGAATGCCCAGAATATCATCTTCATCCAGTGTAAAAGAAGGTTCGTAACCTCTGTAAAAAGGAGCCATCAGAGATGACTTTACGTCTGAGTGAGACAAACCTAAAGAATGACCGAATTCATGGGCAGCTACTTGGAATAGATTCGTTCCTAATTAGAAAGAAAATAAACAATTATTAAAAGTTTATCTAATTCAAAGATTTCTCAAAATTTATTTAACTTGCTCCATGTGTTAAATCATATTCCATTTCTTAAAGTAACAATATTACTACGTCTTCACATTATTTAAATGTTAATGAAATTCGGATTACTCAAACGAATCGCGAATGCTTAAATAACGGGTATACCATTAAGGAACAATATTACGTAAAAATAAATAATCCTGTCAGTAACTCTGATAAATTGCACAACCATTTGGTTTACAAGCGCATGTAACAGGACAGATAAAATTCATTGTTCTAAATGAACTGAAAAAAGTGGATTCAATACACTCCTTATTTAACGGCAGGTGCCATTAGCCACGAATAATAAACGTGAAATGTTCTGAAATTATCATTACCTTATATTGCTTGTTAATATTTTTATTGATTCAAGTTGAAAGTCGTCGAAAAGTAAAAAATATCAGTTTTTCTACATGGGTGATAACCAAGAATGCGTAGAAATATTTAATTCATAAATGGACTTAAAATATAAAATGAGTGTATCATTATGAAACAAAATTGCAAAGATGTGATTAGCAAGTGTATTGCCATTATTTGTCCAAAATCATATAGTACCGTAATATTGGTTGATGGTCCATTTTTCTTCGTCATCGAAGTGGGCGTCACCTCCATATTGCGGAAAGAATGCGTGGGCCAGAGTTCGACCAGGTCCATCAAACCTCTCCCCATCGCCGTGTTCACCTTCCTCGAATCGAACGTCGATATGAACTCGACCTTTGTCATTATGGATGAATTTCAGGTTAGTTACATCGCTCCACACCTGAAAAGGAAATTGAGAACACTCTTTTCTAATACAATCAATAAATTAATAAATTAAAAAACACACCTTCAAAGCTTTACACTCTGATGCAAAATAACAACATGCTCACATTCTAAATAACATTAAGATATCTTATTATTTATTCAGATTTCTGAAGTTTCTTTCGTTATGCGCACAACCAATCAAATATTTAAAAGCAATAACATCATTTGGAAGTATTCTGTGTGTGGGGGGGAAAGATTGTTTTGCTTTGGTTTTTTAAAGGTACTTTCTCAGTATTGAAGAGCTCATCAGACCAAAGGTTAGACCAAACATATTCAAAAAAGAAATTCAGGACAAGGAAGCTAGTCTTAATAACTGCCCAAATAGCTTGTCATTCAGATTTCAAACTAAATAATTTGAAATTCACTTTAAAAGCAGAGAAGATTTTAATTAATCTTTCTGTACGAAAGAAGTTCAGTGATGACATAATATTTAATTGAGATGATTTGTGAATTAGTAATTCAAATTGTAAATACTAGTTTTTTTTTAACCACGATTTTATAATAAACAAAACATAAGTGGTTTATTGATTTCAGTAACATGACATCCCGATAACAAAGCATTTAAGTCTGCCCTCGACTAAAATAGTTGAACCTCACAGAACGGCGAGAAGAATGTAAAAATTAACAACTGAAATTACGAAGTCGTACTTTAAAGTTTTTCTCTCCAAACAAATCCTTCTCTTTCTCCTGCCTTTTAGTTACTACGGTAGCAAAGCTCTTCTGTAGTTATTCCTTTTCTATTCGCTCAGTGTAATCACGGCCCGTGCGGCAGTCAGTGCTGCAGAATTTAGGGGCGGAAAATGTTTTTAAAATTTAGGAAGGCACCGAGTAGCAGAATTTAGGATTCGCAGAGATTGCACCGAGCGGCAAAATGCGTAGCGGAGGCTTTGCTTATATAGTTGAAGGGTTTTTTAAACGGAATTTCCGTGGTTTTCTCCATATGTAACGAGAATGCGAATCATTTTGGCTCAGATAATTCTCCTCTGAAGATAACCTTTCGAAGACAGATACCTCTTAAAGGTTCTGTCGAAATAAATAACATTAATATACGCCCCCTCCCAATGTTCGGTAAGTTGGTTCCTTAGAGATTAGTGGATGTTTAAGTTTCACTGATAACTCATACTCCGAAATCTAAAGATTTCTTTTATGATCACCATTGATAAAAATCGCTGTTGTAACTTTTAAATTAATCAAAATTTAAACTTATATTGGCATGAGCTGTATAAAAACATTCAGTTCATTTTCATAGAATCTAACATAACCTATCTAAGTCAAGCAGAAAAATAATATTGAAATTATTTCATTCGGAATGCTTTCTTACATTCGGATATGATGTAGCAGACAAGTACGTCTGCTTTTAAGGAAGGGATGGAGGACATTCAAGGGAAAACTGGTTCGTATTCACGTTTCGTATGGGTAAAACCATGAAAACGCTCCTGCAGACGCTGCCTTTTCGCCAGCGTTTTAACCTGAGTCAAACTATCAGTGTTCAGCGGTCTTATTCATTATCTACTGGTTGTCTCTTACGTATGCTATTACCTGTGTTATACTGAAAATTCAGAATAAAACCATCTATTCCTTAAGTCCATTATTTTTAAATTTAGACGTTGAATCAAAAGTACAAAGAAGTCTAATTTTAGGAGATGTTGTGTGATCCATCTCGAGAATGACTACGAGACAAAACATTTCATTAGTTGCAGGAATTTACTTTCGTCACTTATTTTGATGCAACCTGCATAAGGAAATTCTTTCGATTTCGCAAAATGTTGATAAATACATAAAGATAAAATTTTAGACGTTAATGAAATACACTAAAAATAAGAAAATAAAACAGCTAAAAAACACCTTGAAAACTTTCCTGTTACGTCAGCTTCGAAGAAAGGTTGGATGTCCAGAGTGTTACAGCATGTACTTAGAACGATCAAACCAGAACAGGTTTCCAGAAAATAACATCGCAAAGCTGAAAAACTCGTGACGTACATAGTTTATTGCATATTAATCAACTGCGAGTCAAAATAATGTGTGGTATTAATACCACAATAACTCAGGGGTCAAATGATATTATAAGAATTAGGAGCCACACATGGTTAAAACCAGTTAACCTTTTCTTGCATAATATCTACGAATGAGAATCTAAGAAGTGCGACCTATGAATCGCTAAAAGTGTCCTGAGTCTACGAAATAGAGAAGACATTATTAATTCAAGTAATAATTCCACAAAGTGTATAGCAAGCCCAATATGTTTTTTCAATTAATGTAAACAAAATTAAATTCAGAAATGAATGTTCTTGCGATACTGAAGCAACACAAAAAACAAGAAAGAGCTTTTTTTTTAAAATTCACCCAAACCCAAATAGTTGCTTTTAAGGTTATGTAAGGTATCATAAGCGCGCCCTTGAAAATTGCCATTTTGGATTGACATACGCAAACTAACGACAATTATTTTAAGGTTTATTAACAGTTGAAACTAAGTTAAACGCTGTCTTGTATTCTTTTTGATTCCCATCAAATATAATCGTTCATATCAGAGGATTATGCAAATCAAATCATACGCCAGAAAATTTATAAGCCACTACCTGCGTTGGATAGTTACTTTAGGTTATCTGAATATGGCAAACACACGAGGGCTATCTGTCTAAGGGGAGGGATAACTTTGTACTGCACCTGTCTTCAAGGTAAACTAGGTAGTACTTACGTTACACATGGGAAAAACCACGAAGATAAACCATGCAGCCATGCGTAATCGGGTCGAACTCTCAGCATTCAGAGGTTTTAACCACTCCGGTCACCTATCTGCGTTAGAAGAGTTTAGTACTGATATGAGGCCGCATCGAATCTTATTACAGTTTGCGTTTAGTTAAATATTTGGTTAAGTATTTAAGTTACAAGTTGAATTAAATTTTGACATGAAAATTCTTATAATCAAACAATTATATATAGAATAAAGCTATATAGAATATAGCTCTTTCACTCTAAAAAAATATTGGTAATATTTTAGCCTCGTTTAGATTATTTTGAGTTTGAAAAGGCAACACAAAGTTGATTATAAATAACCGAAAACACAAATGAAAAATAAATTTCAATTTAATTTTAAAAATGAGCTCATTAGAAAAATTAATTATTTTTAAGTATAGTTATTCACAAGTTAATAAATTTTTTATTCGTGTTTAAATAAACAAGAAAGTTAATATTAACGAAAAGAAATAAATGAATTCTTAATCTGTTATTCATATTCAATCAGACCCTCTTAAGATAACATTCAGATTTCTCTTTTTTCAGCCTTCTACAATAATACATCATTTACTTTCTCATGAAACAAAAAGTCCTAAAGCATCTAATTTTACTGGAAAAACATGTACACAAGAAATATCACGTTTGGTTAATTAATTACTTATGAAAAGCACGCGATGGTTATTTGCCTTAAGAAAGATGCCCTCATGGAATTCTTTCTAAGGAAATTGGCTCGTAATTCCTATTACGCATGAGGAAAACCATGAAAATCTCACGCAATAGGTCAAATCGCAGAGAACTTAATTTGGGGCAAATTATCCGTTTTCAGTGGTCTTATCACTCAGCCCCTGTTGCGCCCCTAGGAAAGGTTGAATTTAGACGAAATTGGAAATTAGCCGACTTTTACCTTGGTGAATTATTTTTTTTTAAACTCACAACTGCATTTTGTATTTATGAACGAATTTATTCATCACTTGCATTTATAAGAATAGCTTTGTAAATTCATTCACAAATCAAGACTTGTGCACTTTTTAAAGGGCATAATATGATAGGATTCTAATTAAAATAACTACAGATTTGAGTATCTTATTATGCTATGGCTGTCTGTTTATGAGAAAGGACACCTTTGTGAAACACAGCCTAAATTAAAGTAGTCCGTACGTGCTATATGAGGAAGAAAAAATTAAATTTCATGCCGCCAGCTCACTCAGTTGCCAGTAGGACCTATGGAAAAGTGCCAGTCTATCGCGATTTGGATAACTAAAAAAAATTAAAAGAAGAAAAAATGAGTTATTATGGATTTTAAACTGGGATAGGACAATGCTTATTTATGAGGTTAAATTTAGAATATAATACAGTTAATTCGATGAAAAAGGATGGGATTTAAAGCAATGTTTCAATGCAATACTTTTCTGTACTGTATCGAAACATTATTTTAAATCCCTCGCCCTCCATTGTCATCTGATATACAGTTAGTCAATGAAGTCTGCGTACATCAAGAAAAGTAATATCAAATCCAAATTTTAAGGTGCGAAAAGGGTAGTTTCTTAAAGTTTTATTTTTTTAATATTTAGTTTCAATAAGGGACTTTGAAATTATTTAACTGTAATATTTTCATATCTAATAATTTATGCACACTAATTTTTAAAAGATAAGTGGCCAGAAATCAAAGCCAATAAAGTTTGCGTACGACGCGAAGGAGGTGGGGGATTTTTTATCTAACTTTTAAACTTCAAATTTGAAAATGCAAAGAAGGTTACACTTTCAAGGTCATTGACTTCCGAAGCAAATTTCACGTTGATTAGAAGTTGCTATTTCTATTTTCTTTGACGAAAATGACAACCAATAAAGAAATTCCTTTAGTTACGAGACAACTAATTATCAAATTGAGAGATGAAGGTAAAACTCTTCGTTATATTGGTAAAACCATTGGAAAACCATTTTCTAGTGTGCAAAGAGTTATTCAAAGCTATCTTGACACTGGTAGTCTTGCTGTAAAACCAAGATGTGGGAGACCGAAGAAGCTAACGCAGAGAGAAGAAAGAAAAGTTCTCTTACGAATTAAACAAAATCCTAAACTTTCTGCTGCAAGCATTGCAAAAGACATTTTTTTAACTTGCAACAAGGAAATTTCTCCTGAAACTGCACTAAAAGTGCTGCGAAAGTCCGATTATCATGGACGCAAACCTAGGTCTAAGCCATACATTTCCGAGACAAATGGAAAGA